CAATTTTTATTGCATTTGCTTTTGAGCACTTAAAATATAAATTATTTGCCTAAGGCAATATCTAGAAGAGTATTTCCTAGGTTTTCTTTTAGGATTTTTAGAGTTTGGGGTCTTACATTTAAGCCTTTACTCCATCTTGAGTTAATTTTGGTACACAGTGAAAGGTAGGAGTCCAGTTTCATCCTTCTGCATATGGTTAGCCAGTTTTTCCAGCATCATTTATGGAATACGGAGTCCTTTCCCTATTGTTTATTTTTGCCAATTTTGTTGACGATCAGGTGGTTGTAGGTGTCTGGCTTAATTTCAGGGGTCTCCATTCTGTTCCATTGGTCTATGTGTCTATGTTTGTACCAGTACCATGCTGTTTTGGTTAGTGTAGCTTTATAGTACAGTTTGAAGTTGGGAGATGTAACGCCTCTGGCTTTATTCTTTTTGTTTAGGATTGCCTTGGCTATTCAGACTCTTTTGGGGTTCCATACAAATTTTAGAATAGTTTTTCTCTAATTCTGCCAAAAAAAAAAATATATATATATATATATATATAGGTAATTTGTAGATTGTTTTGTGTAGCATGACATTTTAAAGATATTGAATCTTCCTATCCATGATCATAGAATGCTTTTCCATTTGTATAGTTTATGATTTCCTTCTCCTTACAGAGATCATTCACCTCCTTCATTAGATGTATGCCCAGGTACTGTGAGTGTGTGTGGCTATTGTAAACGGGATTATGTTCTTGATTTGATTCCCAGCTTGAAGATTACTGGTGTATAGAAGTGTTACTGATTTTTGTGCATTGATTTTTTTATCCTGAGACTTTGCTGAATTCATTTATTAGGTCTAAGCGTCTTTTGGTAGAATCTTTAGGGCTTCCCAGGTATAAATTACATTGTCAGTGAAGAGTCATAATTTCCAACACTAGCATTCCCAACACTGTTAAATATGAGTGATAAGAGTGGGCATCCTTGTCTTATTCCAGTTCTCAAAGGGAATGCTTCCAGTTTTTTGTCAATTCAGTATGATGTTGGCTGTGGGTTTGTCATAGATGGCTCTTATTATTTTGAGGTATGTTCCTTTAATGCCTAGTTTTTTCGAGAGTTTTTATCATGAAGGGATGTTGGATTTTATCAAATGCTTTTTCTGCATCTACTGAGATGAACATATGATTTTTGTTTTTAATTCTGTTTATGTGGTGAATCACATTTATTGATTTGCATATGTGGGACAATCCTTGCATCCCAGGAATAAAACCCACTTGACTGTGGTGAATTAACTTTTTGATATGCTGCTGGATTTGGTGTGCTAGTATTTTCTGAGGATTTTTGCATCTGTGTTCAGGTACAATGGTCTGTAGTTTTCTTTTTTGTGTCTTTGTCAAATTTTGGTATCAGGATCATACTAGTTTCATAGAGTGAGCCAGGAAGTAGTCCCTCGTCCTCAATTTTTTGGAGTACTTTCAGTAGGGTTGGTACCAGCTGTTCTTTCTATGTCTGGTAGAATTCAGCTATGAACCCATTTGGTCCACGGCTCTTTTTTTTTTTTTTTTTTTTTTTTTTTTAACTGATTCAATTTCCTTACTCATTATTATCTGTTCAGGATTTGTTTCTTCCTGGTTCAATCTTGGGAATTTGTGTTTCCAGGAATTTATCTATTTCCTCTAGACTTTCTAATTTGTGTACATAGAGATGTTCATAATATTCTCTGAGCATCTTTTGTATTTCTGTGGGATCAATTGTGATGCTACTTTTGTAATTTTTGATTGTGCTTATTTGGATGTCTTTTTTTGTTAATCTAGCTAGTGGTTTATCCATCTTGTTTATCTTTTCAAAAATGAACTTTTTGCTTCACTGATCCTTTGAATGGTTTTGGGGGTCTCCATTTCATTCAGTTCTGCTCTGATTGTAATTATTTCTTCTGTTAGCTTTGGGTTTAGTTTGTTATTATGTTGCTAGTACTTTTAGTTGCAAGGTTAGGTTGTTAATTTGAGCTATTTCTATCTTTTTGATATAGGCATTTAGCACTATAAACTTTCCTCTTAACCCTGCTTTTGCCACATTCCAGAAGTTTTGGTATATTGTGACTCTATTTTCATTTATTTCAAATACTTTTTTTTTTTTTTTTGAGACAAAGTAACACACTGTTGCCCAGGCTGGAGTGCAGTTCTTGGCGCACTGCAATTCCACCTCCCAGGTTCAAGAGATTCTCCTGCCTCAGACTCCTGAGTAGCTGGGATTACAGGCACCTACCATCACGCCCAGCTAATTTTTTGTATTTTTAGTAGAGATGGGGTTTCACCATGTTGGCCAGGCTGGTCTCGAACTGCTGACCCTGTGATTCACCCACCTTGGCCTCCCAAAGGAGGACAGTGAGAGTACCTTCCCACTGTGACTTCTCTTCAGCTGCAGAATTGTTCTTAAATAGGTTATCTACAAAACCTGCAGTACAATCATACAGAGTATGGAAGTAGAACCTTGGCTCTTAGTGTTTTTGTTGTCTCATGCCTGAAAACCTGAAATACAAAACATCACCTTTGCTGACTAAGAAAGTTCAGTAGTGAGAATGCCAGAGGAACTCAAAATTCCTTATGCTTGAACTATAACCACAGGAGTGGAAGTATTGGAATCTACAGGAAACTCAGGTCATGGAAAGCTAGTAGTGTTGGTATAAGTGTGTACATGTGTTGTGTGTCCATGTTCCCAGCATCAGGGGACAACAGTATTACTGGTATATTTCTAATGGATCTTGTAGAAAAAAAGAAAATCTTAATATGATTGTATAAGAGACCAAATATCATGGCTCATGCCTGTAATCCCAGCACTTTGGGAGGCCGAGGCAGGTGAATCGCAAGGTGAGGAGTTCAAGACCAGCATGACCAACATGGTGAAACTCTGTCTCTACTAAAAATATAAAAATTAGCCAGGCGTGGTGGCTCATGCCTGTAATCCTAGGTACTCAGGAGGCTGAGGCAGGAGAATTGCTTGAACTCGGGAGGCGGACGTTGCAGTGAGCCGAGATCGTGCTACTACACTCTAGCCTGGGTGACAGAGCAAGACTCCATCTCAAAAAACAAACAAATGAAAAAAGACCAAATTCATCTTCATCAATTATTCTTTATGTCAAATTTTACACAGTACATTTTCTCCTGTGCATATCAATCTATATCAGCAATTGCTCTATGCTACATTTAATTATACTTCTTCAACATTCACAGTCTTCACAATTTGTTCTTTGTGTAGTATGTTATGTGCTCAAAGATTTAAAAAACAGAAAAAACATTTTCTTGACCTCCCTAATGGGTAGGCTTATAGATGAAAGTATATTGATATCCTGCACTTTAGTTACTCGTTGAACAGGTAGGCATGAAATTTAAAGAAAAAGTATGCATTTAACTATTACCTAAATAAAGTATGAATCATTACTTTGATTATTGATGGTATCACTCTTACAAAAGTGTTTTATATTAGGACATATCCATTCAGCTATTTTACATAACCAATGGAAATAATGTAATCCTATATATGTAATTATATTATAAATAAAAAGATATAAAAATAATACCTACTATCATAAATCAAAATCAATATAAGCCTAAAATAGCCTATTTTTAGGCCAGGTGCGGTGGTCACGCCTGTTAATCCCAGCACTTTGGGAGGCTGAGGTGGGTGGATCACTTGAGGTCAGGAGTTCGAGACCAGCCTGGCCAACATGGTGAAACCCCATCTCTACTAAAAGTACAAAAATTAGCCAGGTGTAGTGGCGGATGCCTGTAATCCCAGCTACTCAGGAGGCTGTGGCAGGAGAATTGCTTGAACCCAGGAAAAAGAGGCTGCAGTGAGCCAAGATTGCACCACTGTACTCCAGCCTGGGCAACAAAGTAAGCCTCCATTTTGGGGGGGGGAAAAAGCCTATTTTAAAAAAACAAAGACCCCACTCCTCAAAAGTATTAGAGTATTTTAAAATCAGGTTTTTGGACCAGATGCAGTGGCTCACGCCTTTGATCCCAGCACTTTGGGAGGTTGAGGTGGGTGGATCACTTGAGGTCAGGAGTTCGTGACTAGCCTGGCCAACATGGTGAAACACCATCTCTACTAAAAATACAAAAAATTAGCTGGATGTGGTGGTGTGCACCTGTAATCCCAGCTACTTGGGAGGCTAAGGTGGGATAATTGCTTTAACCCAGGAGGTGGAGGTTGCAGGGGGCCAAGATCATGCCATTGCACGCTAGCCTGGGCGACAGAACAAGACTCTGTCTCAAAAAAACCCAAAAACAACCACAACAAAAAAAACAGGTTTCTGGAAAGAAAAACATACATGGCTCAACTCGTACTCCTCTAAGTCAGTTGCCTGCAAAGAGAAAGTATTCACACCCTTCCACCATGCCAGAATTCTTAGAGGAGCAGGACCCAATTTGGCACTGTCTATCATGGGGTAGATAAGCCTATCTAATTCTGAGGTTCAGTATCAGGAATCGCCTGCATACAGATGAAAGCTTCATTCTCTATTTTATCCTTTATCAGTGTAAAAGTAACATTTTGCTTCTCTATCTGGTAACTCTTTTGCTTTATAGGTTGGTTCAGGACTTGAATGCAGAAAAGCATTGATATTTATTTGACTTCAAAGATCCCAATACTCTCGGAAGCATTTCAACTTTTTCTAGGATAGGAAGAAAAGAATAATGCCAAGTAAATGTGACATGAAGTGACAAATGTAACATAATGCTTGTTTAATGGCATTCTTTGTTTTTCACGTTTTGAGACAGCGAAAACTAATAAAGTAGATGAATTTGGATGGGAATGTGGGTCTTTTACCTCTCAATCAGACAAATGGTTTACTTTCTTTTGTTACTATAGAATACTATTTTGCCAAAGAGAGAAATGTTCTTTCCTAAGCCATGGAGGCTAAGTTTGGCAGCACACCAAAGTTATAATTTGATACTAGATGTTAAAGCTGGAAGTGAATTTTAGTTTTTTGGCTCCTTCATTTATGAAATGGCAAGTTACCTTTATAAGTTGGGACAGTGTCCAACCTTCCTTTTTTAACTTGTTGTCTCTCCAAAGGCCGGACTATTGCCACAGGCTGCACTTTGTATGAATTAAAATCCCGTTTGTAGGTAGTACCAAGATCAATCTTCTCTTGTTTTGGTTTATATTCTTCTGGCACATGGTGAGGCTGTTTAACTATTTCATAAGGATGATAATCCAACCTGAAATATATAAATTTGAAACATAGCCTCACAAGTTCTTTTATTTCTAATTATTTCAATGAAGTATGGAAAATGTCAAGGCTTTTTTTTTTACTTGGAAAGTCTGAGAAGATATTAAAATCATAATAGTTGATAAACTACTTGAAAGAAGTAAATGAATTTTCATAAGGTCCTATCCAGTGACTAAATATCTTGAGAAAAGTAAATATATCAAAAATCCTAGTTTTTAAAACATCATTACAATAGATCTCAGTTAATTGGATCTTCAGTAAACAATATCCTCAAGTATTTGATTGTTTTCTAACCTGGAAGGAAATTTCAGGTAAAATTTACTAAACCTGAAAAGTTTAAAAAATATATTCCCCCTGAGTCCACTTTGTCAAAGTCCTTATTCATCCTACTTAAAGTCTCCAGCAAATTATTTTGGCATACTTTCTTCTTTTTGAATTCATGCTGTTTTCTCGCTTATTGTTAAATGATTAGTAACTCTGGTCTTTAGACATAAATCACATTCAGATTATAGATATGAATGTTCCTCATCTTTGGATCTCCCAGAATTCCTTGTCATGGATGGATGCCAGCTGGTAATGCAGCCAACCTGGGTGCTATATAACATTATGTGACAGAAGTAGTACTGCAGACCCTGAGGTAAAAACTGAGGAATGGAGAAGAACACAAACTTAGACTGATCAGACCGCCTACGTCCAAATCCTGGCTCTGTCATTTACTAGCTGCAGGACCTTGGATAACTTCATTAACCTGTTTATGCCCCAGTTTCTTTATATATAATATGGGACAATAATATCTTCTATCTCACAGAGTTGTTTTTAAGGATATACACACACGCTTTTAAGACTGCTTGGTACATAGTAAGATCAATATGGTAGCCACTACTGTTACTACCCCAAGACTTCATGGAATGCTTTTTTCTTCTGGACTCTATTGGCACATCACTCATTTTGTGATTAAACTATCTTGTATTAATCAATATTTGTTGCATATGTCTGGAAGTTCTCCAAAGAACCCAAACCCCTCACTGAATTCTTCTATTTACAACATAACTTCTTAGACTAATTAACTGTTTTCTCACCACTTCCAATCCATTTCACTCTGGTTTCCAGGACTGCCACTTCCCTAATACAGCTCTAAGGTTCACCATGTCTTCCATGTGATTAAATTCATCGAACATTTTTAATCCTCATCTTACTTGACCTCTCCAGTAGTAACTGACATTATTGTCCACACTGTCTGTTTCTAGGAAACTTGCTCTTCCTGACTTCCTTATTATTTCTTGCCAGTCTCCTATACAACTTCATCTACCTTTACTCGGTCATTAAATACATGTTAGCATTCCTCAAGACTTGGACCTACCTACACATACTTCTTTTCATCCACTGTTCACTCCTGAGGATAACTCTTCTACTCCCACAGCTTCGATTACTACCTAGATTGAAATAACCCTCAAATTTACATCTCAGCTTAGACCTCTTCTCTGAGCTCCATACCGGCATCTATGATGGTCTCTTGGATATTCAGTGGCAACTCAAAACTTAGTATGTCCCAAATCAACTCATTATTTCCCCTTAATAAATGTGGTCCTTTTTGCTTGTTCTCTATTTAAGTGAATGCTATCACCATCGCTTCAGACACAGAGTCAGAAATCTAGGACTCGCCCTTCATACTTCAATTCTCTCCCCTATCTAGTCCATCGTCAACTACTGTCAATTTTGCCTCATAAATCTCCCTCAAATCTAACCACTTTTCTCCACATCTGCCACTACCATAATATGCAAAGTTTTTGCAACAGCTCATTTGAATCACTTCAATAACTTTCAAAACTCATTTACCCACATCCACTCTAGTTCTCCCTCCAATCTTTTCTCCACATGGCACCTGAGTAACTCTTTCCCGTGTAAATCTCATCAGGTCATTCTTGCCCTTATCTCCCTGGCCTCTTCCTTAACTTCCTTCCTCCCCAACTCTACCCTCTACCAAAAAAACAAAGCAGAAAAATTTTCATGGCTTCTTATTACTGTAAGGACATAGACGACACTGAACATGGCTTAAAGGCTCTGCCTGGTCTCCTTCACTAGCCTCAGCTCTCACCACGCTTCCTCTTGCTTTCTCTGCTCCAGCTGGCCCTCTTTGATACTTTTCTCCCTTCCATGCTCCTTCCTGCTACATGTTACTCTCTCTCTCTCTGCTTGGAATGCATTTCCTTCCCCCTCTTAATCCAGCTAATTTAATATCCTTCAGGTTTTGACTTATTTTTCTTATTTCCCTGATAAAGTCAAACTCTTGTTCTGGATGTCAAGGTACCTGTGCCTATCCTTCATAGATCTTATCACTGTTGCAATTTTAGACTTATTTTGAGTAATGTTTTTGATTACCATCTCTAATAGGTTGCAACATCTGTCAGCACAGAGATCATGACTGCTTTTGATCACCACTGTATCCCAGGTGTCTAGTATAGTGCTTGATGCTTAACAAATGCTTAATAATTTTTTATTTAATGAATGAAGAGTAGTAGAAATCACATACCTCTGCCTCCCAAGACATGTCAGTTGTTCTTTGCTCTTCCCAAATACTAACTAGAGGGGAATAGGCTAAAATGCAGTCAGGAAGTGAGAGAATCAGGAAGGGAAAAGCAAAGCAAAAGCTTAGAACTCTCAGTTTCTCTGGTTAGACTAGTTAAGTGTTAGAAAGTATACCTCCAAACCCAAAGCCACTTTCTATGTAGTAGTAGAGGGTGAATGCAGTCTTATTCATGTGATATATCCTGAAACATTTGATGTGTCTAGAATCCTACTCCTTCAGGGCAGGCTTCCTGCCAACTCTGGCAGTCATCTAAGCGAGCTACAACAGTACTGCTATAAAGGATCCAAAATCTTGTACAAGTTCAGACACCTCTTTACACAGTCACTTCCTGTACTATACAAAGGTACAGAATGCTTCTTTGTTTGTACAGATAAATCCACTTCCTACTGCATAGTCAACACAGTCAACATGAGGGAGTCAAGCAAGAGTTTCAAGCTTCTAGATTATGACTCTTAGAAATACTGCTAGTTTCCCAGTGAAAATATAAAGAAAAGATCCAATGTTGTACTAAGTGAAGAGATGACAATTTAAGAAATGAATATTTTAGTTTTATTAGTATATTTGGACCTTTGGGACATTTCTTGCTTTTTTTTTTTTTAATTATTAAAGCTTATTTGAATAAGTCAACTGGGGAAATTCAGAATTGAAAAGCAATTGCCTTTTAAAAGAAAGATATGGCAGGTTAAATTTTCTCAATTTCTACATTTAGAACTGGTTAAAAGCAAAATCTTTGTTCAATAAACACAAATATTGTAAAATTTATTTCAAATCTCTAATATGAACCATTATGGCATCAAGAAAGAAATATTAATAAAGTGAAGAAAAAAGAGCAACCATTCCCATTTAATCAGTCTCAACCAGTTATTGAATATCCTCATCTCACTTATTATAATCCATAATTATCTTAGTTATTTATCTGATATTTTCATATCTGGACTTTCCCACAACACTATAAACAACAGTAAAGCAAAGACCGTCTCTGTTTTATGTTCCACGTTATCCTCAGTGAGCAGTCCAGTTCCTGACCTACTGCACTGAATCAGTGGCAACAGAATCACTAGCAATGCCGGTTAAAAATGCAGTTTCCTGAGACCCACTCTATTATCTACTGGCTCTTTTAGATGGAGACCTGGAATCTGCAATTGTAACACTTCTAGATGGCACTACTGCATACCAAAATCTGAGGACTAAGTAAAATCTTCCATCTGTGGAAGAGCCATACACCTACACAAGTAACTAGAGTCACCAAAGTATTATTACTGCAAGGAATGCCTGAAGTGTTAAAAATAGAAATATTAGACTAAAAGTTTGAAAGTTTAAAGTATAATAATAATTTTTAAAATAAATAAATAAATAAATAAGAAAGTTTGTATCTTTGCTATATAAGAATGAGCTGCATCTGAAATGAAAATGGCTAACACCAAAATCTAAAGCTGTTACAGATCATTTTTAAAACTCTAAATTATAGAAATATGATGTACAAGTCACTAGGAAGCAGGAACTTCAACTTGTGAAAGGAAGATAAATCTTGGGGCCCCAAAATCACTAAGCTAAGGGGAAAAGTGAAGCTGGGAACTGCTTAGGGCAAACCTGTCTCCCATTATCTTCAAAGTCACCCCTCTGCTCACTGAGATAAATGTGTATCTGATTGCTTCCTTTGGAGAAGCTCATCAGAAACTCAAAAGAATGCAACCATTTGTCTCTTATCTACCTACCACCTGCAAGCTCACTCCCAGCTTCGAGTTGTCCCGCCTTTCCAGAACGAACAAATACTCATCTTACATACATGTTGATTGACGTGTGTCTCCCTAAAACGTATAAAACCAAACTGTGCTCTGACCACCTTCGGCACATATTATTGGGACCTCCTGAGGCTGTGTCACCAGCACGCACCCTCAACCTTGGCAAAATGAACTTTCTAAATTAACTGAGACCTACCTCAGATATTTGGGGTTCATAAACTTATTGACATTTTTATACTTAACACCAAGATTGTACCTTGAATATAGTATATACATTAACAGTTTAAATAAAATAATGAGTAAATATAATACATAATCTAGCTAACTGACAAAAATACAGAGATCAAAAAAGGTCAGTCCAAATGAAAAGTATAGGCTTAAGAAGATTTGTGTTCATCACTCACTGAACAAATATTGGGTACCTACTATGTGCTAGTAGGCATTGTTATTAGTTTTCTAAAAATAGGATGCTGAGATAACAAAAGACTTAGTTCCTGCTTTCATGAAACACTGAAACCAATCTAATGATAAATAACAGGAAGGTGCTTTGGGAGCTTACATAGAAGAATTTTACCTAATCTGAAAACTGGATGAAGTGTCAGAGAAGGCTTATTCAAGTGATAATTTAGTTGAGATCTACAGATTGAATGACCATTAGCTAAGAGAGGGAAGGAAAATTGCAGGTAGGGAAAATAGTATCTTGGAAGACTCTGAGATAAGGGAAACCTGGCACTTTCAAGGAAATGAAAAATGGCCCATGGGATGGAGCATAAAAGTGAAAAGGGCACTACAGTGAAAATGAATTAGAGAATTAAGTAGTGAGCAAACCATGCCTCTACATGGTTTTGATAAGGATTCTGGTTTGTGTTAAACACAATGGGAAAGTTTAAGGGTATTTTAAGCAAAGAAGTGATAGGGTTTGGTTTGCATTTTAAAATCATTCGGGCAGGCTGAAGTATTGAAAACAGATCAAACTGCAAAAACTAGAGTAGATTCAGATATTATTATAACCTCTAGGTTAAGCTTGTCCAACCTGCAGCCTATGGGCTGCATGCGGCCCAGGACGGCTTTGAATGAGGTCCAACATAAATTCATAAACTTCCTTAAAACATTATGAGATTTTCCTGTGATTTTTTTTTTTTTTTTAGCTCATCAGCTGTGGTTGGTGTTACTGTATTTTACGTGTGGCCCAAGACAATTCTTCTGCCAATGTGGCCCAGTGAAGCCAAAAGATAAGACACCCTGGTCTAGGTGGTGGTAACAGTGGAAAGTAGATAAATATGAGATATTTTAGGAAGTTAAAAAAAAAAAATAGAACTTTTTATATCCCTTTTTTCTTCTCACACTTTGTCAACCTAACTTAATTCGTATTTTTCTGTTTTTTTTCAAGTTGTGACTTAACTAGTCTGTTGCCTATTAAATTGGTTCAACTTAAGTAAACAGTAATTTAAATAGCTAGAAAACTTTATTGACACCAGAAGAGTTGAGAGAAAAATAAGTAAAGCAAATAGTTACTAAATATTTACTTAAATGTAGTTATTCCTTCCATTTTACCACAGCATGCTTGAATTTCTTGCTTGGGTTTAAGACTCTGAGCTGGAAGAACATTGTCATACATAGGATATTTTTCCAAATATTCAGTTGTAGGGCAAAACACCCCAGAATTTTCATAAATCCTTGTGATTCCATGTGGACAATGATGTCGGCTGTGCAAAAAATCAATGGAAAGATTAACCTCAAAAAACATTTTGTGTTGTAATTGCATTTTAATCAGAGACCTCCAATAAACTCACAGTTTCTAAATTCTAGAGCTTTACTGAAAAACCAAAAACTGGGCTGGGTGCAGCGGCTCACGCCTGTAATCCCAGCACTTTGGGAGGCTGAGGCGGGCGATTCACAAAGTCAGGAGATCGAGATCATCCTGACTAACAGGGTGAAACCCTGTCTCTACTAAAAATACAAAAAAAATTAGCCGGACTTGGTGGCAGGTGTCTCTAGTCCCAGCTACTCGGGAGGCTGAGGCAGGGGAATGGCGTGAACCTGGGAGGCGGAGCTTGCAGTGAGCCAAGATCGTGCCACTGCACTCCAGCCTGGGCGACCCAGCAAGACTCTGTCTCAAAAAAAACAAAAACAAAAACAAAAAAAAACCAAAAACTGTTTCCTCTGTAATGATGTTTACAAAAACAATCTATAAATAATGGTCTATCCCTATGTGGTGGAAGCACAGCAATTCAGTGTCTCATAACAATTTAGTGTCTTGTTACACTATAGAAGCTGAAAAACTAATAGAGTTTTTCCTATTAGTCCTAAAAAGCCTAGGGTTTTTCCCAGGCTCTTGCAGAAAGGTTCCACATAGAAATTAGGTTTCACCTGCTACATGTATTCACATGATACTTTGACTCAGAACAGAGCTACATAAGGAGAGAGTCAAGGCACAACATTTTTTTTTTTGCTTGCATGAACGTAATAGAGGCAACAAGAGATTGGAGTTAGAAGTTGTTAGGTGGCATCTTGATTTGCAAGCTGGTTTCCTAACTTGGCAGCTTCTTGACCATGGAAGAGACGAGTGATTCTGGAGTCTACAGCTCTGTTGCAATTTTCTGATTATGGCAGAGGCAGTGGCCTCTTGTCAGTCCTGTTCTGTGGTAAAATTTTTGGAAGTTTTTCCTGGAAGCTTATTTTGAAAATGATTTCTTAAGTTCTTCCAAGTGACCTCTCTCTATATATATATAAACACGCCTTAATAAATTCCTTTTTGCCTAAACTAATGAAAGGAGGTTATGTTATCCATAACTAAGAACCTTGACCAATATATCATATAAGCTAATAGTATACAGTTATTTAAGAGAATGAGGGTGACCTTTATGCATGGTCACTGGAAGATGGTGAGATTGTAAATAGTAAAAAACTGGATTGTAGAATAGTATGCTCAGAATATTCTCTTTTTAAAAAAATAAAATAAAATCGATGCAGGCCAGGCGCAGTAGCTCACGCCTGTAATCCCAGCACTTTGGGAGGCCGAGGCGGGTGGATCATGAGGTCAGGAGATCTACTAAAAATACAAAAATTAACTGGGTGTGGTGGCATGAGCCTGTAATCCCAGCTACTCGAGAGGCTGAGGCAGAAGAATTGCTTGAACCCGGGAAGCGGAGATTGCAGTGAGCTGAGATTACGCCACTGCACTGCAGCCTGGCGATGGAGTGAGACACTGTCTCAAAAAAAAAAAAAAAAAAATCAATGCACATGTAAAACAAGTCTTAAAGAACATTTGTTATCTGTGGAAGATAGAATTATGAAAGTGTTTTATAATATAGATATTTTACAATATTATGGATTTTTATGACACCTCTTGTGTATTTATTGCATTATCAAAAAATAAAAATAAAACCCTTAAAAAACAAAACAACCACAACCAAAAACAAAGAAAAAGTAAAATCACACCATTCCAAGGGTAGCCCTCAACATAATGAAGACTGAATTTCCTAACAGTTGAATGAGAAAGGAACTTGCGTTGAATGTAAATTAGGAAAAAAGTAAAAATTGTCTCCTGCACACCAGTCTGCAGATTCATACACCCAAAGTTAATTTGTTGATATTTTAATCTACTTCTAATTACGAACTGTGTTTATTATGAGGCTATCAAAAAAAACTGCTTTCCATCAACATGCAGGTGTTTTCTTTGAAGGGGATTACAAATACGAAGGGATTGACACTTTCATATTTACTTAGCAAATAATGATCTAATCCCTGGGTCAACAGTGAAGCTGAGGAAGGAGAAGACTGTGTTTCTAGGTGATGGAAGGTTGTTAGGCAAGACTCAGTTGGATTCTAGGTTTCAGGGTGGGGACTACTATACTGCCTTTTCAGTCAGGCGGATCCCAAAGAACGGGACGGGAATGCGAATATGGTCTGGCTGGGAGGACAGAAAGCAGATGAAAGAAAGTGTGATATGGGTTGCAGACTCAGGGCCTTGAGCACTGTTCTTTCTCATCTTTGTGGTGAGGGATGACGGGGTGGAAATGCATTCTCCCAGTCGGATCACATCCCACTACTCACCAGTCTTATATCCCGTCGCTGCTTCACATATATTATTTACCCGGCCTGGGTGGCATTTTACTTTGCATCCTTGATTGGGAGTCTCAGGGGCTACAAAGAAACGTTTTACCCCCAGGTAGCCGGCGGGTGCGGAGCGAGTATTCGTGGAACGGGATAAGTGGGGATGTCGCTGCGTCCTCGTCCCTTGATCTGCGGGGGACGGCCATTCTCAGGGTTCCCGAGGAGCCAGCTCCGTGCACCTAGGCCCTAGGTCGGCTCCCAAGCCCCGGCCCGCCACTACACCAGCCATTTCTTACCCGCAGGTACAAATCTGACACAGACACCAGCTCCTCATGCTCTTGGCTCCCATGCCTTCCTCCACCTTGCCTCAGCACTTGCGGCTTCTCCACTCCCATAGCGCCCGCCGTAGTCAAGGCAACAGAGGAATGCCTGGTGACAGACCCGGCGCCGGCTTCCGGTGGCGTCAGAGACACGCGGGTGAAAGGTCGAGCGTCAGCCGGCCCCGCCCCCTGGCGCGCGGGCGTGCAGAACCCGCAGAGATCTTTGTGTTTCGGAAGCTCTTGGTGTGGCTGGCTGTGACCCGAGAGGAGAAGCTGGGCTGGTGGGGCTGCTGCCGCCGGTGAGTGCGGGCTCGCGCTGGGGACTTGCATCCTCCTCTGCCAGCCTCTGGGCGGTGCTTGGAGGACCCCGCTCGCTGCGGCTCTGAGGCGGGAACGGGGCCTGGGGCCGAGCCCTGGCTGGGAGCGGTGGTCCCCGGAGTGTCGCTTCCAGTCTGGGGCCGGGGCGGTGGCCTGTCTGTGTGGACCAGCGATTCTCAAAGAGAACGAATCCGGGACCCTGCCGAAATGAAGGGCATGTAGTGTAGAGGTTTTTCCTTTTTGTTTAGAAAGGAATGAAAGACCGGCAGTGCACCTGCTTGGATAATAAGCACGTGACCCAAAACTTTGTTCGGGCTCCGTGGGCAGGAATAAAGCTGGGTATTCGACCTCCCGCGAGGACTAGCGAGAATGTCAGAATGAGGGACTTGGGGGAAGACTGAAGAGAGAAAGGGAGCATCATCTTCAGCATCTTCTCTCCCTCCTGCATGCAACCCTTCCTGTACGTGGTCATTGGCCTGGAGAAGTTTACCCGAGTACTTCTCCACCGGCAGGGTTACTGGTGTCACTGCGCACCCAGCCGCCTCGAGCTGCGTGATTCATCGCAGCCTTCGGATCCGGAAGGATAAGCAAACTCCTTAAGTGTAATCGTGCTAGGATATTGACTTTGGTGCTCGAACGGGACTTAGGCCTAGGTGGTGTGTCTCATCAATAAATATTCACTGGGTTCTTAGTTTAAGGGGTTTGAGAAGCCTTGCCACCTCCTAGCGTTTATTTTTTTTTTCTTTTGCCCCGACCTTTAGCCTCTGGGCTAATAATTACTTAATTTTTAGTCACAGGAAATAAGTAACCATGGTGCTCAACAGTTTGGATAAGATGATTCATCTCCAGAAAAACACTGCCAACATCAGGAATATTTGTGTTTTGGCTCACGTTGACCATGGTAAGAATCCTTTTTAAGTGCTTGTTTTGATAAATAAGGGAGGTGTGTCTCTGTATGTCTCAGTGGAGTGAAGCTGTGGGCAGCTGAGAGTGGTGTTTGCTAAGAAGCAAGTCTTCTTTCCTTTAAAGTTTTCTGTGATGTTGGGGAAGCCTGCCTTGCTATAAAGCGTTTGAAATGAACACAGTTACCTAGTGAGTAGCATTCTTCTTTATAGTATGTCATGTTGTTTTTTAAACCAGAACTTGAATTTTTTGTTTTTGAAATGGCTTTAAGTTGCTTCACAACTTTTCAGATGAGGGTGATTAGATCCACAGGGTTGGAGATAAGATTACAGCATTATAGAGTGCTAGCATCTATGTCCTTCCTGATGATATTCTGTTCAAAAGTCTAATAAATCTCTTTTGTCTTTTGTTACCTAGCATAGGTAAATTGAAAATCTTTACTAAACCAATTCTTCTGGCCAGATTTAAAATCTATAGGTATGATCCATGACCCCTTTTAAGAAAGACATATATTTGAATTGATGTCCCTATTTTATTTAACAGGAAAAACTACTCTGACTGACTGTCTTATATCTAGCAATGGAATCATCTCCAGCCGCCTAGCAGGCAAGGTATGTTCTTATTTTATAAATACTTGTTGCATTTCAGTCAACAATGTGATGAACCATTTCCTGTGTTCTTTAGCGATCCAAAAGGGTATAAAACATTGTTCTTGCATCTAAAAGCTGCCAATCCATTTTGCAAGATTAAATGGCTGATGAGAAAATAGTTACTTCTATATTGCTTTGTATTGCTTTATATTAATATTTTATAAGTGCAAAAGTGAGTTTTTGCAACAAGCAAATGATACACAATTTTGGAAGATTTCACAGTGAAAGAGATTCCTTGTAGGTGAATAAGTTGCGTGGTTTGAGGAGAAGACAGAAAAACTACCAGGTGGTCAGAAATAACACAGATAAAGGCTAACTTGTGTGTTGTGCTTTATTTGAGCGGAGCATTTGCCTAGAGGCTAGTGACAGAGAAAACATACTGGCAGGGAGAATAGATTATAGAATACCTTAAAAGGTAATCTAAGTATCAAAGGAAAGCTGCTTGTGCCTGAGGATTGTGATGAAAATAGCGGCTTTTTGATTTTTGTTTTTGAGACAGGATCTCTTTCTGTTGCCCAGGCTAGAGTGCAGTGGTGTGATCATGCACGGCTCACTGCAGCCTCGCCCTCTTGGGCTCAGGTGATCCTCCCACCTCCTCCTCTTGGGTACCTGGGACTACAGGTGCACACAAACACACATGGCTAATTTTTTGTAGAGACAGGATTTTGCCGTGTTCCCCAGGGCTGATCTTGAACTCCTGGGCTCAAGCAGTCCTCCTGCCTTGACTTCCCAAAGTGCTAGAATTACAGGTGTGAGCCACCACACCTAGCCTGAAAATAGTGTTTGAGGAAATAAAATTAAAGAGATCTTTATTTGTAGCTATGAGTTTTAAGGGCTTGGAATAATTTACTTGCCAGTAGGAAAATAAAGATGTATTCGTTTCCATAATGAATTTAGGATATGATCAATAGGGTTTATCAGGTGACAGAGAACAAAGAGAAGAGGAGATGGAGAAGTAAAATTGAATCCACAGAGTAGACCCAGTAGAGTTGAAGGTCGATTTGGGAATTGATGTGTGGGTTGGGAGGGAAGCTGGCCCAAGATACTATCTAGAGGAGGCTGAAAAAACTAGGTTGAGTGAAATAATGAAATACTTATATTTTCCCCACTTGAGAATTTAGAGAAGGTACAATAACTCTAAAATAAGTAGATGAAAGGAAATAGTAAAGCATAAATTAATGAAATAGTAAATAGACGTTTTATAGAAAGGATCAATGAAGCCAGAAGTTTGTTTTTGGAAAAGATTAACCCAGCTAACAAAGAGTGAACCCTAATGTAAACTATGGACTTTAATTAATCATAATGCATCAATATTGGTTCATCAGTTGTAACAAGTGTATCACACCATATACTAATACAAGATAGATATAATAGGGGAAACTGTGTGGGTGGAAGGAGAGAGTATGTGGGAACCTTCAGTCGATTTTTCTGTAAACTTAAAGTTGCTCTAAAAATATAATGTTATTAATTGAAACAGTTACTAGCAATATAGATAATTTTTGATTATCTTGACTAGGAAACGTTTTTGTTTTGTTTTTCATTGACATTGTTGAGGAACATTTGACACTTTTGACCTGCTAATGTTCCTAGTGTGTCTCACTGTACTTTGGACATATACAAAGCATAGTATATATATAAATAAATATTTTTGAATGAATGACTTTAAAGAAGAGTAATACAGCTGACAAAATACCAGCAAGATGATCAAGAAGAAAAGAGAGGGGGCAGATATAAGTGATACCAGGAAAGAAAAATGCTACAGAAGTTAATAAGGTATTAATAGGATATAATGAACAACTCTGTGCCAGTAAACTTAAAACTTAAAAGTGCTAAACTGGAAAATTGTCTGGAAAACATAACTTACTAAAATGGAGTCAAGAAGAAATAGGAAACTTGAATTATTCTATAGTCGTTTAAGAAATTGATGAAACCCTGTCTCTACTAAAAATACAAAAAATTAGCCAGGCGTGGTGGCGGGCGCCTGTAGTCCCAGCTACTCAGGAGGCTGAGGCAGGAGAATGGTGTGAACCCTGGAGGCGGAGCTTGCAGTGAGCCGGGATTGCGCCACTGCACTCCAGCCTGGGCGACAGAGTGAGACTCCATCTCAAAAAAAAAAAAAAAAAAGAAATTGAATTGGTTGGCAAAAATCTTTCCATAAAGAAAAGACCCATATGGTTTAACTCTCTAGTTCTGCCAAACATTCAACGAATAATTTCAGTCCTACTTAAACCATTTCAAAATATAGCAGAGAAAAACCCAACAATTGGCAGTATTCTCCAAATCATATGAAGATAGCATAACTTTGATACCAAAAGTCTGTTAAGGATAATACAAGACAGGAGAATTATATACCAACCTTATGAGTATGGATGCAAAAATTATAATCCTCATTAAGAAACAGAATTCAGCATAGTATAAAAAGCTGATTATTCATATCCAAATCGAGTTTGTCCCAAGGAATTCAAGATTGGTTTAACATGTAATTTCACTATATTAATAGATTAAAGGAAGAAAATCATGATCATTTCAACAGATAATAAAGACGTAGTAAAATTCAACATCTATTGTGATAAAACCTCTTTGCAACGTAGTTACAGAAGAGAACTTCTGTAATCTGATGTGGGATATTTATAAAAAACCTAGAATGAAGATTGAGCTCAATGATGAAGTGTTAAAAAAACTTTTCTATTCATAGCCAGAAATAAGGGAAGAATGGCCATCACACCCTTCTGCTCATTGTGTTATAACTTCTCCTTTACGTTGTACTGGAGGTTCTAGTTGCAGTGATAAAGCTGGAAAGAAAAATAAAAAGTGTGAATTTTGGAAAGGAAGAAAACAAAAATGTAGATAAATTGCTAGGATATTAGTAACAAGTTGGCAGGTTTCAGGATGTGAAAACCGTTGAAAAGAAGTATACATGAGCAATAAATAGATCAATATTTAAATTATCTATTTAAAAACATAAACCATTTAAATAGCATAATAAATGTTCCTGTGCTGGGCATGGTGGCTCGTGCCTATAATCCAAGCTACTTAGGAAACTGAGGTAGGACAATTGCATGAAACCAGGAGTTTGAGGCTGCAGTGAGCTGTGACAGCAACTGCACTCCAGCCTGGTAGATAGCACAATACCCTATCTCTTAAAAAGTAACAAAACAACAACAACAACAACACCTATGAGATATTGGAGAAAACTTAAATAAATGGAAGGATATTCCATATGTATGTATTGGCTGACTCAGTATTTTTTAAATGACATTTAAAAA